TTTTTACTCAATCTTAAGTGAGAAAAACCTAAAGTAGTTATAATAAGAATATTTTGTGTGTGTAGAGTCTATAGAAACTATTTTAGAATACTTGAATTCTTGAGTTTAGAGAGACTTATACAAAAATACTTGGTGAGTGAAATTTTTTGTTGTAAAATTTTTTCATGGTAAAAATTTTGATGAGAATTCAAGAATTAAATGTAATATTGATATTGTGAAGTAAACTAATATAAATTTTGATGCTCTTCTTTCTTTTCATATTTTCTATTAATTTATGTAATTTGAAAGGACTAATGAATTAAAATTTTATTTACACTTTAACGTATTGTGTGATAACAATTGGTTTAAGTACAAAAACATTATTTATACACTATTATTTTTGAAAATTTATGAAAACTCAATTCAACCATTTTCTCCTACTTTTTATCTTACTTTCAAAACCATAAGCATTAAGAACAATCAAAATAGAATAAAAATTTATCAAGATTAAATAAAAGCTAGCTTAGATTCAAAATAGTATCATCAATCTTACATTAACCAATCTCATTCTACAATAAAATGTGTGCTTCTTGTACTTGAAACCCTTCCTAATGTGTGCTTCTTGTACTTAAATATTTAGGGTATTCAAAATTGCATGAGGCACATCAATGATCAATTCAAACATACAAAAATGCATAGAGATAGTACATGATATAGTCATGCTTCCGTAATACAATATAATTGTGTTATTCTTTATTTAAGAATTTATCAATTTATTTATATCAAAATATAACACATGTTGCATAATATTAATAGGTAGTGTTCTTTATTGACATAACTGTTTTTACTCTTCTTAAGTCAATGTTAATTCAGTGTTGTTCCATTATTTTATGTACATTTAAATATTTATACTTTTGTTGTCAAAATAAATTTATTTTCACATCAAATATGTAAAAGTAATAACTTAAACTGAAACAAATAAAATGCATGATAATATTAACTAATAATTATGAAAGATTTAAATGTTAATTTTATGTACAAACCTATGCATGATGTACACACATAATTTTGGTGGCACGTAGTTGTGAAGATATTTTGATGTCAATTTAATATATATTATTTATGAAATATAAGGCATTTAAATAACTATTACAAATTTTAAGTTTACAACATAGCTTTTCTTTAATATCTTTTTAGTAAATTTCATAATGAAATTTATTAAATTAAGGGTATTTTAAAATGGTTTCAATTTTTTTATTTATTTAAAAATAAAATATGTTAAGTTAAATTTATTTTTAATTTATATTTAAAACAATTTTACCTTAATTTTAAAATAAAAATAAAAGTAAGTTTAAATCTTTATTTGTTGTAGTTATAAGTTTTCAAGTTTTAGTTTAAAATGTAAATTTTAAAATAAATTTGTTCATATAAAACAAAGTTGAATTAATTTTTATCTCAAATTTAAAATTGGTTTACCTCTATTTAAAATCCAAAAAAGTAGTTTTGTGTTTTTTAGTTGCAAAAATATATTATTTAACTCTCATTTCACTTGAAAAATAAGAATATACATTCACCACTACTAGTATCGTTACTATAACTATCGCCCATTATTGTCACTATTTATCATTATTTTTATGATAAAATTTACTATTATTATTATCATTATTATTATTATAACACTGTTATTATTGTAACTATTACCATTATCATTGTTACCATGAAAATTATTATTATTTTTGTCATGACTATTATTACCACAACAACCATTATCGCCACAACAACCATTATCGCATGTCACCATTACTATTGTTTAATCATTGTCAATTACTATTATTATTATCATTATTATTATTGTTATAACAATGTTATTATTGTAACTATTACCATTATCATTGTTACCGTGAGAATTATTATTGTTTTTGTCATGACTATTATTACCACATCAACTATTATCGCATGTCACCATTACTATTGTTTAATCATTGTCAATTACTATCACTAACATAAACATTTCTATTGTTACACTTTTTGTTATTACTATTATCATTATTATTTTTATCACCATCTACTATTACTATCACTCTCTCTCTTTACCTTTCTCTTGTTTTATCACCCAACAAATTTGATTTAAGTATAAATTAAGTTGTATTGTTTGAATTTAAATTTTGATATTAAAATTTAAAAACTTAAAAAAAATGAAACTTAAAATTGTAAATTTAAAAATAAATTTTAGTTTTCAAAACTTAGAATTAACATTTATATTATAAGACCTTAGATTTTAGTTTAAAAAAATAAGCATTTAACTTTCTTATCTCTAATACACAATAGTTATCACTGTTAATACTAAAGTCATTATTATTATTATTATTATTATCAATATACAATTATTATTATTACTACTATAATTGTCATGTCATTATTACTACTATTATCATAATTTCTTGCGCTATTAATGTCATTATCGATTTCATTATCCTAATCTTATAATTTTATTATTTCTTGCATTAAACAAACTTAAATTAAGAAAATTTATTTATGTGAATAAGATTTAAAATTTGATATTAAAATTTAAAAATTGGAAACTAAAAAAATTGTAAAAAGAATTTATAAAAATAAAAGCTAACTTTAATTTTTAAATTTTGAAAACTTAAAACTACAATCATGTTAAATATAGCCTAAACCTTTTTTAATGAATTTCATATCAAACTTATCTTGAATATGTTCCTCACATTTTAAACTTATTAAATAACTTTTTATTAAGTTATTTATCAAAACATGTCTTTAGTTAAAGAAAAAGAAATGTAACGTAGTGTCATTCCTGCATCTAGAGCACTTGTCTTGTAGAATGAATGTACATCACAGTGTGAACTTAAATCATATCCTGTGTCGATAAAATGTAGCACCAATAGATACAAACAATATTTTAGAGCCATCCATGCTTGTGCAAATTGTATAAATATTTAACGTGCTTTATATTATTCTCTAATTAAAATTAGATTTTTTATTTTAAAAATTAGTATTAATTTTTAATATTAACCTTTATTGGATGAGCAATCGAAGTAAAATTTTAAATTTAATTTAAAATTAGAATTAAAAATGCTTATAGTAATCCAGTTAAATTTTGTTCATATCATTTATAAACAAACAAATATTTTGACAAGTGAATTGCTATAAGGGCATGCGTAACGCTGGCTTCACTTAGATGAGCAATTAAGAGCAACTCAAAAAGCTTTAAATGTCACTTACAATAACATCTATTTAATTGTATGACAAATTTTTTTAACACATAATTGGAGATGCTCCAAGCTTAAAAGTTTCATCAAAATTTATAACAAAACAACGGATCTGTATGTAATTAGTTAAATAATAAATTAATATTTGATGGAGAGGTCACAAGATTAAGATATAACTTTCATTAAAAGTTTAACACTTTTCTTTTGAAATTTGTATAGCATTTAAATTTCAATATTGCAAAATTTTCAAATGTTAATAATTATAAGCCATGCTGAAGCTGGGTTAGTCTTAGAGTTTGTAAACAGTTAATAAGTATCTTGTCCATTCTATGAGTACTTTTAAATATAGATAAAACGTTAGATATATAAATTAAAAATAGTTAGTTGCAGATTAATTTAACTTATGTATGATTATTTCACTGGTAATAAAAAAGTATAAATAAAAGATAAAACACACATTTAAAACTAAATTTAGAAAATCTAAGCAATTCGATTCATTGATAAAAGAATATATCATTTTATTGGTAGTTCTCAGTTCCTCCTGTCAAATCATTGAAAAAAGTTATTTTCAGAGACATGATTATGTATTTTACGAGTTTTACAAAAATTATTTTGCACTTTCATACATTTTACTCCTGCCTAGATTGATTAGGATCACCATTCTCATCTTTGTGAGCATAGATTGAGTCAAGGCCTCATCCTTGTTTTGCTGGCCTGTCATTGTATTTCACTACAACTTTCAAAATAAGAACATAATTTTAATTCGGTCATAATAAATAGAAGATTTGTACTCCTACGTGTTATTTTATGACTCTACCAACAAAACAAATCTATCAAAGGCATAAAAATGAGCTCTTACAGAATATCAAACATAGCACACCGGAAGGCAATGCATACATGGTGATTCGACAGTTAGTAGAGAAACACATTGTCCTCATTTATTACAAAAACAATACACTATTTTTATTGTCTCTTTGTTTTTTCATTTCAAGTTCCTTTAAGTAAAAATAGAAACAAACCAAATATAGCCTAATTTCATAGCGGAAATTGTACAAATGGAAGACATTGAGTTGAAAGGCGCAAAGTTACTAAACCATTCCCATCTTATTTTCAAAAATATAATAAATCACAATTAACATTTGCTTATACAGAAAATCTTTAGATGAAGATATTTATTGGCTTTACCATTGGTCAGTAATAATTAACTATGCGTTTTAATATGTAACTTTTCCTTTGTTTCGCCTTATCACCTGATAGCCCATAATTTCGAAAATAAGACCTATATGAAATAATCAACGTTTAATAACATTTATTTTAAGATAAATAATTACTTTTAAAATAAATCTTGGAAAGTTAACGAGAAAGTGACTCTCCTAAAAAAGCCGAATCAAATAAGCTAAAAGGATCATAAAACTTCACTATTATGCCCCATTTAAGAAGAAAGGAGATTGCCAGGATCATTTTTTTTTTCTAGTTTTTCTAGTAACAGTTCACAAATCAAATGTAACAATATTTCATGTCCATAGTAGTAAAAATGGAAGGCATTGAGCTATAGATGATACCCAATACAATGTATTTATTTCACACTGTTATTCTTGCTCCAAAAACAAAAACTTTCACCTTTCTTTTTCAGCCAGAAGCTTTGATTTTGCTAACTTCGAAAAATCAGTGAACAATTGTTTTGCTGTATTTATGTGAAAAAATCACGAACTCCCTGTTTTCATCCATCACATTTAATGCAAAAAAAAGTCGTAGCTCGACCCCACGATTATCACATTTTCATATCTCAATATCTATCTATATATATATATATATTACAAATTTCATTTTTAAATTATTTGCCAGAAGTTGAATTTTAATGGACAATAAAGTAGGACTAATGTATCCTATCCAGAAGCTTTGAAGAAGGAAAAGGAACAATGCCAGATGGCCCACAAAAACCAGAAATAAGCAATTAACTTACAAATTGTAAGAAATTACATCTTCACGACAGAATAACTTCGGAAGGATGATACGAGTTAATGGGCTTGCTTACATAATTAGTAAATCAATCAGACATTGACATGAGGGTCAAGAAATCTGACCTTCCCATCCTTTGTGTACTTAGTATCATCAAACCGATAAACTATTCCTTTTCACAACAGCTTCGCTCCATTTGTTTTGGTTGGGGGTGGAAGGAGAGGAAAAAGAAACAAGGTCTCCATATGCTCTTTACTCAGTTTTAGCAGTATTTGTTGATTCATAAGCAACATCGGCAGAAGAGGTATCCATATCATTCAGACCTAATTCTTCATTTTGTTCCCATGACCTCTCATATTCCTCAACTGGAGAGAGATGTCGACAAAATTGCCAAAACAGAAAACCATAAGACATATTAACATGGAAAAACTATGCAGCCGAGTGTAGATAACATGCCAATAATAGTAAACAAGCAAGTTTTATATTATACACAGCTCATTAAACTCAACCATAAAATGATAGCCATTATGCAGGTAAAGTCGAGGCACAGCCGCACAGCAATCCAAAAGGTTCAAATGCATGCCCCTAACGAGGGAAATGTCATATGCAACTAAACTCATTCCTGTATTTTTGTTTCCATGGTAGTAGTACACTGGATTCCCGAGTAACTTATGGTTGAATTGAATCAGATATCTTGCAGTACAAAACATAGACAAAATCTATCTCGCTAAATGAAGAAAAATATTTTTATCAATGATGAGGAAACAAGGTATCAAAGAATCAGATATCTTCAGTTCAAAACATTGCATGATCCATTTTACCACAATGAATTTTATTTTTTTACCAATAACAAGGAATGACATAATCCATAGTCATATGGTGCATAGAAAGTTGAAACCACATCACTATACAAGCAAACTGCACAACACAATAAAACCTAAGGCATGAAAATAATTTTCTGCTTTTAATTTCAGTACACTTTACTCAGAAGATACGAAGTTATCATTTCAGCAAGAAGCTGGAACTAAAGGTGCAGAATGCATTATATTCATGAACAATAATAACTATTATATGATTAAAAAATCATGATAAACCTTCTTCTCTATTGTAATTTCTAGATTATTCTATATATCTATATCTATCTATCTATCATTTTTAGTTTCTCATGCAAAACGGCAAAAGGACAATGCAGATATTCAACATGTTCAAGTTCAAATTCTGAAAATGTCAGCTGCATAAAGTATAGCTTGAAGTATCATATTGTTGGAAAACTTACATGCTAATTGATTGTCATCTTTAAGATCATCAGTTGCAGGTGCTACAAAAGAATTGGCTAATGCATCATCAAGAATTAGAGTCCAAGCTTCTTCCAAGCTAAGAAGCTGCATAAATTGAAAAGATGCAGATAAAAGAAATAGGATCAAAAACCTTAAACCGATAGGTCTAAGGCAAAGTCAAATCAAAGCATACTGATCATGGTTGTTAAACTCTCAATTTAACTCGTAAATTCGAGTTTAAGATCTTAGACAAGGAAACTGTGTCAAATTGCATGTAAACTTGTTTTTTAATAAACGCACGTAAACTCAGGTGAACACAGGTAAACTTGAGTTTACACCTGATTTTACGAGTTTAACTAAACAACAGCAAAATCACATTTCTTTTCACGAAAATAACACCATTTGGAATGAGGGCACCACTTTTCTCCCCTCTTTGCAAGTTGTGAAACATCACATTTATAATTATGACACCAAAATCACATTATCATTATATGATTTGGCTATAGAAGTATGATTTTTTCACCAACATAACACCATTTGGAATGACAACACTTTTCTTCCCTCTGCAAGTTGTGAAACATCACATTTATAATTATGGCACCAAAATCACATCATCATTATATGATTTGCCTATTTAGGTATGATTTTAACTTTATTATTGAAATTTATTTCATTATGAGATTTTAAATATTTTACATGAGGTAAACTTGTAAGAGTTCACGAATCAAATTTACGGAGAGGATAACATATCCCCTCATAAAAGAGAACAGAAAATGCACAAGCTAATATTAGAAACACAAATGAAACTACAATGCCTATAGTCTTCTATTATTACTCTTTCCTTTTCTACCAGTCTGCTGTAAAACACTGAAAATAATAAATAATAAACATTGTCATATGATGGTAATCTAATCAATAGAATTGATATATGAACAGCTACTACTATGCCCAGAGTGATAGACATATAAGAAGTGGAATTTAAGCCAACTCAGATATAGCGCAATGTGCTACCTTGTTTAGCCTTGCTTTAAAGTCTAGCCACTTGCTCCTTCTATGTTCATCAAGACTATCTCCAAAAGTGAAGCCATGGACCCTCTCAAGGCCTGTACATGCAAATCACATCAAATCAACTTCTAAATTTGAGCAGAGATATATAGATTATATTAAATTAATCATACAACAGGATCAGGGAAAACATAAATGTAATGTGGATGAAAGAACAATATAAAATCCAACTTTCCAAAATGGTTACAAATTTGCAATTTAGAATCCTTTTCCAACATATTTGATGTAGATTATTTGGAATGAAAGAACTAATGATGTTCTGGAAGTTGAAACTAGGAAGATATAAACGATAGTCACATCTTCATCACTTTGTTCATGGGGAGCTCAACGACACCACTTTTCCCATTTCCATACAATACATCACCTTGATGTTAATGTGTGTATGGTGTGTGTTGGGGGGGGGGGAGAGACGCACATACTTACTTTCACTAATTTTTGTAATTAAACCTTCAACAGTTGTAACAATTCCTCCCAAGGTGCCGCTTGCCAGTTCCAACTCAAGTTCAGGAACTTTTACACTTGCAGTATCAGACTAATCAAATTAAACTAGTCAGCCAATTGATAATAAAATGTATTTCTAGGTCTCAGATCACAGAAAATGAAGTTTAACTGGTCATACAAACAGAATAGTTAATCCACAACATTATGACATTTTTCACAGGTTTGTCTTTACCAGAAATACCTGAGTATCATCTCAATTTTAGTACATCACAATTTGGCACAAAGTTCTTGATGAAACCATCAATATCAGGCTTCCGATAACCACAAAATGTGAATTTGATTCATTAAAATGCTTTAGCTTCATCCAAGTGTAATAACAAACTAAACTGAAAATAGAACAAAAATTTGCATTGGAACATCACAACAGTCCACATGATAAGCTGTTCCTTCCCCCCCACCCCCACCCTCCAGGTCCTTCCAAACGATCACTACAAGAAGGTTTGGATGCTTACAGCTGCCCCACCCTTGCAACCTATAACTTCAATTAACAAAGTACCTTCTTTTCTAATGATTTTTCTATTATTGATCCCAATCTATAGCAATAACACATTAGAAATAAGAAAAGTGATAGCGTTCACTAAATGCAAACAAATTATTAACTTCAGGATCCAATATCTACCACCTAACATATATAAACTAACAGACAGCTTGGTTTCATTGGTCTGAGATTTGTTCAGATCCGGATACAGACTACAAACCTTTATTACATCGCGGCTCAGGTCATTTACATTCTTCACACAGAGAGTAATTCTTTTTCCTTTCTCGGGAATTCGTCCACCAGGTTTCAACTGCAAGTTGAAGAGCAATATTTATTTCATCTCTCAAAAAAGAGAACTACGATCAAGAAATCAGCATATACCTCAGAGTTGCGGTAACCACAAGAATCGCATGTGGATGCCATGACAATTACTTCTTGGAAGTAAGGAATATCTTCTCATTGTTAAGCTCAACAAAGTGTGTAGATGAACTAACAAGATAAGTTGCTCATACAGACTAACAATAATAATAAGAATTGGCTTGTCTCTGTTAGCAAAGCAAGCAAATGAATATTATCTACAGTCTTTACAAATCAGCAATCAGAATTCAATTCAACCCTGTAAACAACTGTTTCGTTTTAATCTCAAATCATTCAACATTATCGTTGAGTAGCTAGCATGAATCAGGAGCCAACTTTCCAAAATTAGGAAACAAAAATTATTTTCAGGAATTTTAGCCAAACACATGGTTATAAAAAAAATTCACTGCATACCAAAGAAGTGACTAAAGCTTCAAATTTCAAGTGGAAATGCATCAAAAATGGAATCAAAAAATAGGTTGAAGCTTTTATATGATTTCAGTTATGAAGCTTCATTCTCTCTTACAAATACAAAATTTGAATCCTTTTACACAATCAATTAAAATTATAGTTGTCAATGATGCTAAAGCAACAGAATCCTTCTGCGTAAATGTAACAAACACAGAGTATACCCCAGTGGCAATATCAGAAATGGCAAAAAGGATACTGGTGACAAACATTCGAGTCTCACACCTGGCAGTACAAGCACCACAAGTTGATGGGAAAGTCATCACCTGTCAAGAACAAGCAACAATATGACACTGAAAGGGAGATCAACAAAAAGGACCAAAACTCAGTATTAAACAGTTCAGCAATACACACCTCTTCTGGGGAAGTATATCGAAATAAGGCCTCAGCAATATCTGCACCATTACTCTGCGCAATGGCACGTTGACCAGCAGCTGCTCCTATTGATCCATGTGGTTCTCTCCTTGCTTGATCAGCAGTCACGTCTTCTCCCCCTTCTGGTGCTTCATCATGAGTCCCTTCGATCTGTGTGGAATCAACTAGGTATCCCAATGATGCTTGCTGCTCAGGAGTTCTCTCATAAAACTTGATAGTCAGTGATGGATCAGATGATGGTGCAAACCTATTCATATATGCCCCCAATTTAAATAAAATAGAAGTAGCTTAAAGGACTAAGTCTGACTAATGTTAATGAGAACCAAATAAAGATACAAGACTCCTCACCAACAAATACAAGTTCCCTCACATGTATGTATGTTTAGGGCTTTGAGGATTTACCTTTTATCTAGCCTCCTTACCACCTTTAGCTAGTTTATCCCAAAATAATTTTATAAAGTCAAAGGAAAGATGACAAAATTGACCAAGTTGATTTGAACATATGCAAAAAAGGTCATTGAAAGCACTGGTGAAGAGAGTTAACCTTTTATCTTCCTTACCAACGACAGTTAGTCGATCATTAAATAATTTTATAAAGTCTAAGCAAAGATGACACAATCAATTAAGTTGATTTGACCACATGCAAGGAAGATCAATGAAAGCATTGGTAAGGATAGTTGATCTCATGACTTTAAGCTTTGTGAAGAAGCGTAGAGAGAGGTCAAAATGAACTTGAAAAAAATTATTAGAAGAAATCATATGTTAAATATATCTGAGTTTGATTTCTAACCAAATCCAATAGTGTCATGTGTTCCGTATTGCTAATCTCATCTAGTAGGATAAGGTTGTTGTTGAAATACTTCAGTGTTTAAATTCCCTAAATAATTTCTCACTTGCTACCTCTAGAGTCCTTAGAAGTAATTTTATTTGGATCTTCCTAGCTGTGGATGGATAATGATCATGATGGCATGCTTTTATGATTTTTACATTTATTATTTTTATTTGTTTTGTTATATTACTATTTAAGATCTTATGCATGGAGAAGCAAGTCTCTTATATTATTTAATCACTCATAAATTTCTGCATTGTGAATACTTGTTTAATGGCTTGATGTAAGCTTGGATACTCCACTTTTGCTAAAGTATCTGTGTCATACATGTATCTAACAATGATACACCTACAATACGTCAAGGATTGTATCCAAGAAGTATCCCCAATTTTTAAAATAAAATTATAGCTCCAAATGCGATACAGCTCTGATACATCTCATACAGCTTCAAGGAAATAGATACAATTGAAACCCACTGTATGTTCAATTGTTTCTATTTGATGTTGACTTCTCCACACATTCACATAGCTATTTCTAAATTTTTCACATAGCAATCTGTGACCAGTAAAATGAGGTTCCTCTTCTAAGCTATGGCTTGCAGTGCTAGTTCATTGTAGTTATAATGACTCACCTCCCTTCTATTTTCCATCAAGATACCAAGTAGCTAAGTAGTAGCCTACTAGAAGTTGCACTTCATTGTGAAATCATTTCTTTTGTATTAAATATTTAATACAATGTGTTATTTTCTCTTGTTTTGGGCAGTTGTTGTGCATTTCAGTAAGTGTTTATAGTTTTGGTCCTTTTGAAATGTTGAAATACAAGGAAAACTCTGCTGAAGTTTTTGTACTTAGAAAGTATACTCATATTGGAAAAATATTTTTGCTATGTAATTGTGATTTTAAGGCTTATTAGGTTAAGTGGTGTTTTGGTTATCTTAGCCACTCTAATAAAAATGACCAGGCTTGACAAAGCTGAATGTTCTTCTCTAAGGACTGTACAGTATGTTTCTCAGTTTAAGACTTGCATACATTGATTTATGTGCTGCACAGTCACTTGATAGTTAAGGTGTGTGATTCTTAACCTTGTCCAAAAGTTTGAGATGTTGTGGGAGAACTGAGTAGAAGGCCCTCTGGTGGAGTGCTAAAATGTTTGCTGTTATTTAGGATTTATGGTTTGAGAGGAATTCTAGAACATTCAAGGACAGTTTTCCTTTATTGGTATATTCTACAAGTTAAGGTGGTGGTTTTTTTAGCATTTTTATGGTTGTCAGCCAATGGTAACAACAAAGTAGTGCATTTAATGGATATGCAAGGAAATTTGAGAGCCATACTGAGATGAAAATCATTCTCTTCAATGTTTTTGTTGTTTACTTATATTATGATATCTAAGCCTCTACCATATAATATTCTCTTCTTGTATAAAATAACTTTTATTCATTAAAAAGCGCTTCAAGAAGAAATAGTCTCTTACGGGTTTTCAATGAAGCTGTTTCCTGCAGGATCATCAAGAATAAATGTTAAGGATGATTGTCCTGTTGCACAGGCTCGCAATTTCACCAAGAACTGATCAATTGCTTCTGCTGTCTCTGGAGCCACTTTCTAGAAGGTAAAAAGCATGACATTAAATTATTTAAAGGGAAACTTATATATCAAACAATAATATAGGGTGCAGAAGAAAATAGTACTCTGCGTTCCTCTTGAAGAGCCTGAAGTTCATCAGCAGCTCTCATAAGTATCCCTTCCACCTATAACAAAACCAGAAGTAATATGTTTGAATCATACAATGACAAATGTTCAACTAATCATGAATTTAACCTGACTCTTCATAAAATACCTACAGATAGTGCTCTAACACAAAAATTTACGTCTCTAATATAAATGTATGGATCCTTGTTACTAAATGGGAGCATACAGAAACAGCCAGTTATAATATGATTAAGAGTTAAATCTAGAGCTTCAGAAATCTACCCAAAATACTTGCTTTGTTTCATACCAACAGAAATATATATAATAGAAGGATAACATGCTCAGCTTTTATTTGATGAAATAAAAAGAACACATCAACATACAATCAAATTACAACTTTTCAAATTGTATGATGTGTATGACAAAAAAGAAATCAATGTTGAGATTTTTACTGACAAATACAATCACAAGCAAGCCTCACAAACCCCAAAAAAAAAAAAAAAAAAAAAAAAAAAGCAGACCAGTCAATGCTAGGAGTGAGAAAAGAACAACTTAAGTATCAGAAGTACCGTTGACAAACTACCACGCTGAGCCTCAGGTGGAATCTCAAAATCCAGTTCTGGTATCTGCAGAATCATATATAAGCAAGGAGCCCTATAAATAAATTTATTACAATTCAAATTTTCAATAGTAGAACTATATTAGTCATAATTTACAGTCATTTAGAATCAATAGAGATGAATCGTATAATTTCGGAAATATTTTTTCTTGAAGTGGGATTTCTGAAACCTTTTTTTTTTTTTTGCAGTGGAATTCAACCTTGTTTTATTTATAACTTACAAATTAAAATGGTGTTTATGCATAATATCATACAATCAACTAATTAGAGCTTTGGCAATTAGTCTATTCCTAGCAGAAATACATAGTTCACCAAGCAAAAGAATATAATTATAGACATCACAATAGAACTTGCATACAGGAGGACAGGTACAAAGGAAAAATTACAAAAGTGTTAACAGAATGAGTCAGCAGAACAAAGGACAGATAGAAGTAGAAGAAAGAATCTGAAGAATGGCAGAACCTCAAAAGAGAAGAATGAGTTTAAGTACCTTAATGGTAGCAGATTCTGATTTTACCACTTGTCGATTTAGCATCTGCATTCATTAAACTTATTAACAAGACATGCTTACAAACAAATTTGCAGAATGGTTAACAAAAAGTGTAGTGTGAATCAAAATAAGAAACAAGATAATCCCACATATGCATACATCGAAAATATATTTATTAGACTGACATTGGATAAGGCTACTTGGAGTAGCCTACTTTCTGAAGATTCTGTTTCATGCAATGCACCAATGTATGGATTGGGTTGGTAAGTTTAGTTTCTAGACTCTTCTCTTAGTTTGTCATTGTGTGTGAATCAATGCTTCACCATGGGCAATTAACTTCCATATACCCCTTATTTTGTATGACAAACATATTATTTGTCCTCCCAAAAAGACTCCTATTTCCCAAATTATCATAATAACCGTTAATTACTATTATAAACATGGTAAGAGGATGAGGAAGAAGGAAAATGCAATAAAGGAGAATTAGGATGGCTAGACTTTTTCCACCAATGAGATGCTTGTCATACTTGACCCAATAGTATGCATACAAAATACCAGCTATACCAGTTGCAGTGTTTTCAATTGTAAACAGAAACCTAAGGTGCTAAGCCAGCCAAATGCCACAAACAGTGAGGCAGCAATTTTAGAGGGAGAAAAAGTACATTATAATGTCATCCTAAAAAATCCTTATAACATTTTGAACAAATGTTACAACACTACGGTATTTTTCAATGCCTTCTTACAATTTTGGAAATTGATGAAGAATGAAGAAGAAGAAAATAGCACTTTTCTCCATGCGCTGTTCTTCCTTAACATTGCAGTTCTTATTTTCTCATGATTATGTTTTACCATACTTTTGTATGTAATGCCATTTTACTTCAAACAGTTTTACTTCATCAACTCTTTAAGGAAGATGTCTTTTTGCTAAATATGGACTCAATTTAAAACACAGTTTGGCTACTTGATTGACTCCCTTACTTCTATTATGTCCATATTAATTATTGCCGCTAGCATTCTGATTCTTATTTATAACGGGAATTGTCTCAAGATCAAGGACACTTGAGATTTTTTGCATATATCATTTTTTTTAAGATTTCACTGTTGGGATTAGTTACTAGCTTGAATTTGATTTATTTATCTATTTTTTTAATTATTTGGAATGTGTTCTTATTTATTAATTATTAATAGGTTTTTGGTTCACCCGTGCTATTGCAGCAAATGCTGAAGGCATTTATAACTAATCCTATAGAGGATTTTAGATTATTATTGGCAATAGACAAATCAGAAAAATTATGAAAAATCACCCCTTCATTCTAGGGACGGTCACTAGCGCATAACACGGCCTGAGGTGGACATTCACTGAGCATCTGGCCATTAAAATCATGCCTAGACACTGGGAAGGCACTGGAGAACCTCCATTCAAGACAGTATTGTATGTATCATGACTATTACACCATGTTTTAATTCATCTAGCGGCTATGGAAGTTTGCTTAAATCATAAATAATCAGGGAGCAGAGGTGAAATTAGAATGAACACAACCTTCGGTTCGCCTAATGGGATCTCCAACGAGTAGGAACAACCCCGTGGTTGAATTTCACCAGCAAACTGTACTTCGTTGTTCCTAATGGATAACAAAAACATTAAAAAGATATTAGGCTTCAGGAAAGATCAATGGGACCAATTATGTTCAAGGCACAGAGTTTAAGGGGAGGACATAGGTTACACACAACTTACCTCTCACCGCAGTGAGGACATTCAAAAGCTGACAACAAAATCTACACAAAAGGTGAAGGTGGAAATGTATTAAATTCGTAGAAAACTAATGGACAGACATGAGAAAAAGAATCGCAGATAAAAATAACAACATGCGATAACATCTATCATCTACTTTGTAGATCGATAATGCTAATTTATTAAAGTAAATAATTAACAAATAAATTGAAAGAAAATAATCAAAGCACAACATAAGGAGAGGCAGATTAAAAAAAAAGACACGATTCAAAATACATATATACTGGTGGAAGGAAGAAAAAGATAATCACTTGCCAATCATATGAATAAAAGGAGTAATAAGTAAGACATATACCTTTCTGAAGTGAGGAATCAAAGTCAATAAAAATCTTGTAATCCCCTGACAAACATGATAGAATTTCAAGTCAAATGATAAGTTTAAGATTTATAAATAAAGATACAACGAAGCTCCAAAACTAAGTCTTAGTACCTTTGGTTCAGCTTAATTTGCAAAAGCAATCACTTATTTTTGTCAACTTTTGAATGATAAGTAATTACTTGTGACAAAATAATATTTTCCAAGCATACACTAAACTCTACTAGACAACACAAAATTTTTTGTTTCATTGACTTTTGGTAGTGGTATAAAGCAAAGCAAAACAAAACAAAAAATGAGCAAAAACAAAATTCTAGATATTAATTCCTCAATAAACAAACGAATAGCTTGTTCTTCTTTTGTTTTTTGGTCTGTGAATAGCTTGTTGTTCCATGCACAACACCATCCAAAAATTAAAAACACCATCAATTCGGCCCAACCTCACTACACCAACGAAGAACAACCATCAAGCCCAATGGGCCTATCCCCAGTGTAACCCCCGCTCCACCTCCAAAACAGTGCAACCACCACCATACAACAGACAACACCGACAAAGTCCCGTTGAGTGATTCACAGCTAGTGCCAACCTGTTCTACCTGCTCCATCCTTCAATGCCCATGAAACGCACCCTTAATTCACTACTCACCGACAAAATATCATTATATCAAATCATTATGATATTGTTTAAACGACGGTAAATTCCAAACTGCGTTTAACACCACCGCTTAGCCCCACATAAAAGCATCGATTCACGGAAAAATTAAAAACCCAGCGGTAACTCCTTAGCGTCACTCTCAAGGAGAAGAAACAAACAAATATCGCCCCTTGTTTCAACTTTGCAACGTTCATAGAGTAAAGATAAGAAGAAAAAAAGTTGCTTATTCAATGTTTCAGTTCGACGAGGAGGAGATACGGAAAAAAGAAGAAGAAGACGACGAAAAAACGGGAAAGTGATTAAATATTATTAAAAACAATGATGAATGAAGAGAGAGAAAGAGAGTTACATTTTCACCACAACGCATGCAAAGACTTTCGAGGTTGTAAAGAGGGGCATCACCGTCATCAGCAGAAACAGCTTCAACCACGGATCCAACATCCACAATTTGCTCTTTGTTCTCTTCCATATTGTCAGATTTTACTTTATTGCAATCCTTTCAATTTGAACCAGAGTGTGAGTTGCAGAACCAAACGGAGAAGAAGAAGACGAAAAAGACGAGGATTCTGAAATTAACGTGCGAAGGCACTAGAATTTGAAAGATATAGGGTACCCGTCATTGGATTCGGGTTTGGGCCGTTCTGTCTTTTTATGGCCCAATTAATTGTCAGTTCAAATTTAAGTTACCAAATTTAAGTTAATAGGTCAATAGGTCCAGTTACCAAATTTAAGTTAAAAAAATGTTATATTTTAAGTGATAAAATTCTGAATTTGAAAATTTTGAGGGATGTATTATGATATGTTCAAAAATTTATTATGATGAGACATAAATATCATTGTGTTATAGAAATAATCAATTTAGGTTAAAATGTTTAAAAATTTATCAATTTTCACCACAATAAAAGTCTTAAAATATAATACTATATTTGGCTTAAATTAGCCTAAGTGACCCAAATCAAATCTAAAATTTATTGGGTCCAATTTTTAAGATTTAAATTTAACTTTGTATCTTGGTTGAGCTTATCCTTTTAAAGTATTTATAATCGTCTAATATATCTACATTTCTCAACAGATTATACAATATCATTTATATTTAAATATGTCATCAATAAGTTTTCAAAAAAAAATAAATTTAAATATTTTAAATTTTAATAATTTAGTTTTACAGAAAACATTACTTTTACCATATTTCTTATATTGAAAGAATTGTAAGAAAAAAACAATACAAACAACTAATTTTTTCATGATTTTTAGATGAATACTTAAAAATAAAAAAATAAATTCAGATTAATGCAAATTTTTATAATTATTAATAAAAATATAAAATAAATTCTTAAACTTAATCTAATCTTAACTTTTTTATATTTTAATTAAGAAATAACCCAGATTTTTAAAACAATTATAATAGATAATTTGATTTCATGCCTTAAAAAAAGTTTAAAGCCTATTTAGAATTTACCTAAATAGGTTTTAGTCTTAAACTAAAACATTATCTGTTATAATTTTTTTCTAAAAATTTTGCTTATTATTATTATAAAAAAAATTCATATATTCTAGTCTTTAAGTAAGTATTTAACAAAAATTAATTCTATTTAGCTAAGGCGATAAGTTATCATCGACATAATTTCATTGTTTGTTTAATTTTATTTAAGCTAACACTATAGTTTTAATTTTTTCAATTAATTTTTTAATCATTAGCAAGAGAATTTTAGCACTAATGTTAATGTTCAAAGAAAAATTATTATGCGAAAGAAAAGATAATATAAGATACTATACAAGAGACTAACTCAATTTGACTTTTTAATCCAATAAAAAAGTATTGTGAAAGTCATCTCTTTAAAGATAATTACTTAGATATGTTGAAAGTATAGTCAAGTTGTAAGACAAGAGTAATAATAGAATATATAAATATTGTGAGATAAAATTAGTAAAATATGAAATATATTAATTAAGTTTTTTAATATATCAAAAATTAATGAATAAAATTAATAGTAATTATGTTAAAAGAATTATCATTAGTGTTATAGGGAAAAGAAAAGTGTATTATAAAGAAAAGAGATATTTGATGACTAGTTCATAAGTAATAGTATCATATAGTTTTATGTGCTTATTTTTATAATAAAGAAATGTGCAATTTTTTTAGCTTAATGAGAGAATTTGACTTTATTAATTGATAGAGTGGTCGATAAAAAAGAAAATCAAATAATTTTAAATGCATATTGTAAATTCAAAATTACAAGAATTAATATAGAGGTTTGAATTTAATTAAATATTTGATCCCATTAATAATTCACGTATGTGTATGTGTACAGTAGAATTTGTAGAGAATATGAAGAATTTTAATGATAATATATGCAAGGTATGAAAAGAAATATAAAGTTACATGATAAATAAAAATTTGTAGACATGTAAAATGAAATGTATATCATTGGTTCATTACCATGATGTTTACTCATAAACAAGGCAATGATACTTATAAATCAATATGATAACTTGCAAGAGTATTCATGTAATGATGTTAAAATGTTAGTGATTAATATGAATCTTATGGGCAATGCATGAAATTATGATAGAAATATTATGTTATAAGAGAAAAAAAATGTTTATGCATTGTTTTCTAATTAAATGAGAATCTTATGAGAAGAGTTGTAAATGATTTAAGAATAAGTGGAGTCAATGTAGATTCTTTTATAGAAGAAGTAATCTTGGTGATAAAACATTCAAGAAAGATGATCTTATTTTCAACATTATCAAGTTAATAACATACATTTTTGAAACAAAACCAACAAAACAAAAAAAAATTAAGTAACTTCCAAAGGAATGTTTCTTAAATTTATCATACTAAGAAAGTGAAAGTAAAAATAGAAAACTTCAAACAAAGAATTTTAAAAATTTATGAAATAAATATGGTTCACAAGGATCTTATATTTCAAAAATGTGTCAATAGAAAATAATGATTTTTAAGTATATTGTATGATTATATTTATTATAGTTTAAACTATTTTAAAAATTCTCAATTATCATTAAGATATATCTCTTTCCTCTAGTAATTTAACATTTCACACTTTACTTATAAGTAGTTCCTAATAAGTTAAAAGTTGAGTCTAAATTGAATTCCCATCAATTAGGTCGAAACACATTAGTTGAAGTTTCTTATAGTTTTGTTATGATATTATATTATTAACAATTAATATTTTTCTAGAATTGTTGTTTTACTTTATTTAGTAATCTTAATTTTGATGAAATGTAATTTTAATAAAGAAATACTTAATTATTATTAAATCTCTTTCTATATAATTTAGTATATTTTTATGATGATATTTTAGATTATTTTTTTTGTAAAATTATGATGGTAATTTTATAATTAAATTTTTTTAAAATGTGTTTAAATATGTTTTCCTGTTATTTCAAAATTAACATATATTGTTAAAAATTTCAATATTTTCTTAATTAAATTTAGGGTTTATGTAGATAGTTAAACAACTCATATTTACCAGAAATAATATTAGCAATTTGTATATGTAACAACTAAAAATGAAGAGATATTAATTTTCTTTTTAAGAGGTTATATTCATACACACATTAAAAATACAATATTGCTATGTAATATAATTATTTTTTGACAAAATTATGCAAATTGACTTGTTTATATTTCATTGAATAAATATGTAAGGTAAAGAACAAATAAAACTAAGGGATGTGATAGAAATCATATCACATTTGTTATATATAGTTTCTTATAGATGAATTAATTTTAGTGATATTTTTTCTTAAAAATACACTAATGTTTCCATTCAAATACTTTCTTGTTATGTTATTTCATATAAGTATATTAATAAATAATTTTTTATTAATATTAATTTCAATTGTAAATTTAATTTCGTTATTAATGAGTATCCTTACCTCACTTTTTTTTATTTCTTTAGAATAATCTAAATAATAAAATATTACTAACATTAGAATAAAGGAGTAATATTTATTTTATTTTATTTTACAAAAAAATAAATATCATGTAGAGATTTTTTGTATAAAGAAAGAAAACTTAGACAATTATTTTATTTTATAAAAAATATAACTAAATTGGAAGTATCATAATAAAGATTTTTTAAGTAAAAAAAATAATAAATATATGATACAAGTGAAAGAAATATATGATGTTTACTTTAATTTTATAATTTTAAATGAGTAATGCATACAATTCATTGTGATATTTAATTCAAAAAATAATTTATTATAATATATATATATATATATATATATATATATAATGAAACAATACAAATCACAAAATATGAGTGTACATCTCAAAGTTTAAGTAATTTAGTCATGAAAGTATGTTAATACAATATTTAGTAACACACAAAATATTGAACTATATTAACATGAATGACATGTGCATGATCTAAAATGATGAGTAAAAACTTTCAAACTATTAGGTAATGTAACAAAATTGTTTAAATTTTATAAAGTTAATAAAATAAAATATTATTAAGGTAATTTAACTATTGGCTCCTAAACTCAAGAGTTACTTAGTGTGGAAATAATATTAACTATATAAGGCTATAACAAAAACAAGATTAAAAGTGTGTATTATAAGACTTAGTATAGGTATTATAAGCATAAATAACTATAAAATGAACAATATTAGAAGTATTGTAAATATTATTACAAAGGTACCACATACACAAGAAATTATACACTTGCATTGTAGTAAAGACTATTATAATTTATTTTTACCTCAAAGGTTACTGCATTGATGACCTATGCATTATTTTTATAAATTGGTTCAAGGTTTTTGAGAATAAGAAAGACGAGAGCTTTAAGCTATGTCTTCTTGAAAGAGAGTGAACTAAATGATGTCTTCATTCATATCCAAAAAGGATATTTGATCACAAACAAGCGTTCTATTTATCTTTCTTGCACTATCCCAGAATTTTAAAATGAGATTTAGGTACTATAAGCAATTAAATAGTATAAATTTATATCATCTAACAACATAGATATCAAACGTTATGTTATATCTACTCTTATAGAGTTCATATGGTTGGACAAACTTTCATGAAATGATGTCATTCCAATGCTTGTCATGACAAGAGTTAGGCTAGATTTAGTGGGTGATTGTGAGGTAGCATTAGCAAATTACTTCTCCAATGTGATTATAGATCTTGTTTATAAGTTTCTTTCAACAAGAGAAAGTAGAAATGTAAGAGTATATAATGTGTTTGAGTTTATATTTTTTTCAAGTATGAGAACATAAATAGAAAGAATCTAAAAGAGGAGGAAGAAGATAGACAGAATGATGATTTGTCAAAGCATTTAATGCATTTTAAGAAACTGGAACATGAAGGGTGATTATGAGTAAATCATTCATGCTTTTTTGGTGTAAGAAAAAAGAAAAGTAAAATGTTATTTAAATTTAAATATTTTGTCATGTAGTGTGACTAAACATATTAAGCAACATCCCAAACTTTTGACGTTATAGCTAGATGCTTTGACAGACAAACTATTTGTTAAATACACATATATTAATATTTTTTTCTAATAAACTTAAATTTATCATCACTCAAT